CAAACCCCACAGAAGCTGCACGCTTCCTAGGGTTGCCGTTAGTGGAACTTGACGACAACGACTGAGATACCAACCGATCTGGGCGGGGTTGTTGTAGCCGCTACAACAACAACAACAACAATGATTGAAGGATGACCGAAATAGGCGGGCTCGGTAGTGCCGCTACAACAACAACCACAGTGAAAATCTCTTTCGGTGACCGCGCTTCGTCGGACCCGGAGCGATGCGCTTGCTACTTTCCGACAGTTCACGCTGCTAACACCCAATGAGCCTCTTGCTTTCACGTAGTGATGTTCAGGTAGCCATCGGGAAGGCGAAAACCTGCAAAGCTGTAGGTCCCGATGAAATATGTATGCGGATGCTGAAAAAATTGGTGGGGACAGTGGTCCCATTGCTAAAACTGGGGAAACCGGCCAACAAAGGAGAATACTTTAGTCCAACTCCTTTCCCCGATAGCGAAGACACTTGAGGCCTTGCTATTGCAGCTCCAAACGAACCACCTGAGCCCAGCGAGGCATCAGTATAGGTTCCGTAAAGTGCACAGCAACAACAGCACTGAACACAGTAAACACTCAGATAACTCGTGGCCTAAACCGAAACTGTCCATGTGAGAGAAAGTCCTAGCAGCGTTGGATCTGTCAAAAGCGTTTGAAATCATCACACAGTGGTCCGAAACGATAATTTACAGGAACAACATCATTTAATGAATTCTGTTTGTTTAGAAGTTAAACAGTAAGGGGGGAGGGCCTTGTGGAACCCCTTGTTTAATTCTTCTAGGTTTAGAGGGTGTCAAACGCTTTTTACATGTCCAGCGCTACTAGGACTGTTTTCTCACATGGGCAGTTAGGGTTTAGGCCAAAGTTATCAGTGTTTATGGCGTTAAGTGCAGTTGTTTTGCTGTGCACTGTACGGAAACCATGCTGATGCTTCGATGGGGGTAAACAAGCTCTATTGATCTGCATTTTTCGTTTGTGCATAGCTGAACGGTCGGTATTCTAGATTTGTTCCCGAAAATTACGAATAACTTAAATCAAAAATGCATATTATGTATTGTTTAGTATTTCCATTAAAACACCAAATATATTGCAAATTCACATAGATTTAATAATACACATTATACTTCTAATTGTGTACTTTGCGTCCTTTACTACCGTTTTCGCAAAAGGCGAGCACAGTAGGTTGTTTAATCAATCCTACCAAATCCCACTAAAAAAAACAATCAGCAAAGCAGCAGTGCTGCTAATTGTTTGGCATATTAAAACAAAGTTGATCTGAAACCCAACGAAAGCTAAATGGCATTTACACAACAATCCAAAATTAAACTAAAGTGCCGTTTAAATATTAATTTGAAATTGGCCCTTATCTTTGTATTATTGAATCATGATATGATACCATATCGATATTTTTGCCATTCGATACCGATAGTTTTCAAACGCTATTTTCTGGAATCGAGTACCAGAACCCTTGTATCGTATCAAATCGCAAAGATGCATTACATTAAATTTTTTTTGATATGCTTAGGGAAAAGTACATTTGGGTATTTCCGAACTGGCGCGGCGTGACAAAATGTTAAAAAAAGTAATGAAAACGTCAAGATTCGATAACTCTGGGAATTGGTCAACACTATTTGTAGTAATGTTTGAAATATTTAAGGCTTATTTTTCAATTTCCAAAAAATAAAAATCTTTCCTGCTTTTTTATATCAGTCAAATATGGGTATTTCCATACGTCGCATACGTGACAGTCGTACGTTTCAATGTGATACAAACAAGGAATACCATTTGTTTTCTTTAACCTTTTT